CCCCAAAACCCCAAAACCCCAAAACCCCGTCTAAAGGAAAAAACCGTAATTTGAACAAATTGAATATATTTCTAATTAGATTTTTAAATCAATAGAATCCGAATCCTAAGGCATCTGAGTAATTATTCATCCAGCTGCAAATGTAAACTGATTTCCCACTGAATGGAATTGTTACAACCTCATTGTTTTGAACTTTAATCTTATAATTTTGAATTTTTTCTTTATTTTTCGGGTAAAGTGATATGTCCTGATGTCCATCTTTTCCAAATTCTTTAGCTAAAGCAACTAATCCTAGAAATATACCACCTTCAAAAGGTGTCTTAGCATCAGTCTAACTAAGACATCTTGCCGATTAAATTGGTAGATAATGCTTTTCTTAAGGAATATATTATTACTTGAAGAGGTCATAGTACTTTTAAAGAATAGGATGATGTGGTTTGGCAAGCATCAGATCATTATTTAAGATTGCTACTCCAAATTTATAATCTATTTCCCTTACCCATATTGAATCAAATATGTAATTCCATTCATTCGAGAAGGCTGGAAGGAATACATCAAGATCCAAAGCCATTCCTCCGTAATGATAGAGCACACATAGTTTTAAGATATCCGCGGCCTTTCCTAGTTCTCTTTTTTCCATATATTTATCAAACATCTTCATCAGAACTTCATCATATGGTATTTCTTTAAATTCTCTAATTATAAAACCATTCTCTTCAAACCACTAGAAAGTTTTTTTCGATAATGATCTATCATTGGTCCATATAAAGTGATTCCATTTTTCTCCATTACTATCGAGCAGCTTGTTTGTCTGTATCATTCTATCAAAAAAGATAGGATCTTTCAAGTAATCAAAGATTTCAATAGGATTATTGGGTGAAGTTAACCATGTTCTATGAGTTTATAGTGGAATTTTAGGCTTATCTGACTTAGTGTAAACCTTTTTAAGATGTGCTTCAGTATCTAAGGCTACTTTCAAATCATCAATTGCAACATTGTATTGTCTCATATACATGGCGATAAATTCATCTTGAAGGGTAATTTACTTGCCAAGCCAGCAGAAATCCAATAAAAGATTTGAAGTCAAATGAATCTTGCTAAGAATTTTATAGATTGGCTTGATCATAGGCATGTCAATCACATCTTCCATAGTAACTTAATTCATATTTTTCTCACTCAAATCTAGCATTTAATCATCTTCTCTTTGGAATGGATCTGGCCCTTCATACCCCTCTAAAACAACATCTCTTAGTATTACTTTTCGAGTCTAGATTGGTAATTGATCCTGCGCTTGAGTTAAAGATTTAAGGAGTATTCCCAAAAATATATATTTAGCCATTGTTAATTTAAATAATAAAATGCAAAACATAATTAAGCATATTTTTATATTTTAGGGGTTTTGGGGTTTTGGGGTTTTGGGGTTTTGGGG